AGACTAATTTGAGTTTCGGGAAATGAAAAAACAAAAAAAAACCACCCTGAAAGAAGAATCTGGTATTCTCCACTAAGGATTCATTTTTGAAGTGGCCTTGAGCAGACCATCAATTATTATACGAGTAGAAAACTGAAGGGCAAACCAACATTCAAATGATTTTTATTGCATTTCATGGTCTTGCCGGAGTCTTACCCTTTACTGATTAGTTGAGATAAAAGAAGAGATGGAGGTTAGTGAAATCAGTGAGCTTCAAATCGTTTTTTAAAGATGGTGAAGATACCTTTCTTCTGCATATGAGCCCATTGCTTAAAAGACAGATACTTGAGATAATATTCTTTTTATCTCACTAATTACACAGAAAGCCCAGCTGAAAGTGCTTTGGAGATGTGTCCTCATCAGCAGGGCTTGGCACCCATGGCAGTGTTTTAATTCAAGAAGCCTAATTTAATTAGTGCCCTGCCACTGGGTCGGCCGCTGTGCTGCCTTGGATCTCTGGCCTGAGGAGAAATGGGCAACCCCTGCTCTTTTTATTTCCAGTTAGCCTCATAAAAGGTAGGATGTCCAAGGAGGGAGAGGAACTTTGCTTCTCCATCATGTTTTGCATACGGTGCTAATTGAGCTGACAGTCTCGGACCACAGTCTGTTACTGCAGCGGCTGAGCCTTCAGCTGACACCGGGGAAGGGATTGCAAATGTCAAATGGCTCATCTTTGCCCTTGTGGCTTTTGAAATATGGAAGGGAGCGGATCAGGGGGAGCTCTTCAATCTGCATGCTTGAGTAACTGCAAGCAACACAAAACTAGGAAGGAATAAGGTATTCAAATCCTACTGGTAATGGCTACACTATCTCTCCCTGCTTTCCCTACCCAGTGTGCTAATGAGGAGAGGAAAATGTGAAACTCCTTGGCTTCCCTAATTGCTGTGCTTTGCCCTCCTAACTTTTTTGTTCCTGCTTATCATGGTGAGAGCCTTGCTTCTGTCAATCATTTCTGGTTCATTCTGCCTAGAAAATAACAATGTGTATTTTTTGAGCCTTGAGATTATTCCAGCCCCTTCTTTTCCATAATTAACACAGAGAAAATGATGATGATGATATTTTTGGTTTTACTTTGCAATAATGAGCCACAGCAATCAGGAAAGGTTTGTTTTTTCTGGTCCCTGAAACTTCTCCTGGGGCAAATCCCAAATTTTCCCCAGGACAGCAGAACTGCAGATTTCCTTGCTGTTACCACAGTTCTGGACTGTGGACATTTGTTATTTTTATTCCATTTTCCCCCCACAATGGAGGCAGTACTGTGTAGTGAACAAATCACGGATACTAGTGCAAGGCACACCTAGTTCTGAAACCTGGTTCCATTCTGTACTAGCTTAGATTCATTAGCCACTTGAACAATAAAGGGAAAAAAAATACAAAATAAAGGAAAATAAAAACAAAAAAGGAAAACTCTCCCTTTCCAGAGTTATTTGGAGAAATGAGTAAAATAATAGCACTTAAAATCATCGACAACAGTTCCTGCCACATAGTAAGTGCTCAATAAATGTGCTTTCTTGCTATTTTTACTTAGCATGCTCCTTGTTGGGGAATGCTTTTTTGGCTCTTGTATTTGATTTAAAGGGTTTGATTTCTCTGTTGATTTGATTTCAGGTGTAAATAAGACGTTACAAAATAAGATCATACTAAGGTTGCTGGATCTTGGCTCACACTGCCTTATAAGGATAAGCTCGAAGTTTGTTATTTGTAGGGGGTTTTAAGGATATTGATGGTTATTTTCACATGAGAGGAAAACATCTGCACCCTTCTCATGCTCTCCTCTTGCAGTACAGCTCTTTGGCTGCATGGTGATTTAAGAGTAACAATAAACAATATTTATAACACTATCTGCTATGGTGTTCCAGGAACTATACAATGCACTTTATATTATTTGCAATACTTATAGCAGCTTTACAAGAGAAATGTTACTTACTACCATCTTACAGATAATAAACTGGAGCCCAGATAGGTTAAGTGACTTGCCCAAGGCTACACAAGTACTTACTGTAGGAGGTCTGAGTGACTCCAGGGAGAGAAGGAAGGAAGGAAGGAAGGAAGGAAGGAAGGAAGGAAGGAAGGAAGGAAGGAAGGAAGGAAGGAAGGAAGGAAGGAAGGAAGAGGCAAGTGAGAAGGGAAGGAAGGGCGAAGGGAAGAAAGGGAGAAGGGAAAGAAGGGGGAGGGAAGAAAGGAAGGAGGGAAGAAAGGAGGCAAATGAGAAGGGAAGGAAGGGAGGAAGGGAGGAAGGAAAGAAAAAGGAAAGGAAATTAAGACTGAGCAAGAGAGAGAGAGAAAGAAATCATGTCCTTCATTTCAGATGTATTATCTAGCACTAGGCTTTTCTCGTACCACCAGCACCCATGTTTTCCTCTTCCCCAGGGAAATGTCAGCTTTGGAAATAATTTAACCCAAATAATCACTCTGTTGGAATAACTCTCTCCTGGTGCTGCTGTGATTTGGCTTACAATTATAGCTAATTGAACATCTTCGAAGTGAGCTCAGTGCTGCATGCACATAGAAAAAAATGTAATGTGCTAAGCATGCAAAAACATGATCACAGAAGTTCATTTTTACCAGCAGAAAAAGAAAGCAATTAGTGAGACATTTTTCAGCAAGGAGGAAAAAACACGCACGCGCACACACAGAAACCTCATGATCTCAAGACAAGCTCTAAGATGATCGCTGGGCCCCATTAAAGGTGCAGTAATGAAAAGGGCTTGTGAGCTACAGGTTGGCATCTGTGAAAAGGTTCCCCTTCTCAGGAATCAAGACATATTAGTCTCATTATTTGCAGATACTTGACAAGAGCCAGAGGGAAGCAGTAACATAAGGAGATACATTGTGGAGAGAGGAGGTGACTAATTAAAGGAAACAAAGAAAGAGAGCCTCACAAATCCGTTTTAGAAAATCCCCCTCTAAAGGAGGTATTTAAGAGGTAAAGTGTCCTTCTTCAGGACAGGGCCCCATTCCATGGGGAACGGGAAGGCCTGTGGGCTTACCCCAGCACTGGCCTGATTATCTGTATAGTCTAGTCGACACCACACCTACTGTGAATCTTTTAGTTAAAACTGGTTATTAACTTAATTATTTTTAATTTTTTTTAACTTTCTAAGGGATTCCTTTCAACTCAATTCATAAAAGGATGAAGGCCAGAAGTACTCCAGGCTGGGTGCAGACTCATTCCCTAAAGCAGCCAGAGCAGAGGCCTAGAGAAAGAGAGAGGCAGAGAGGCCTAGAGATGGGGACTTTTCAGCCAGCCCCTTACTAGAAAGCTCTATGCTTGTATGGCCTCATCAACCTCCTTGTTCCTGCTTAATTAGAAAGCCTGCTGGCAACTTGCTCGGTGGGAAAGAGCACCTATAGCTCCAGAAGAATTGGGTGGGGAGACGAAGAGGCTGGGGGCTAAAAGGAGTGAGTCTAAATGGAAGTTCCATGCTTTTAACTTCTACTGGACCGGTACTGGGCCATCCCCAAGCCGTTCAGAGGACTTTCAACTTTGCAGCCGCAGGACCTAGGAAAGGCTTGGAAAGGTTTTAGAGGTGGGGTCGTTGTTCTGATAGAAATTGCCCTCAAGAAACATAATTTGTAATCGGTACGGGCAGCGGGAAAGATGAAAGGCTCACCACAGACATGGAAGGAAGGATCAGCACTTTTCCCATCCAGCTCCATTTGTATGTGAGCCCGCATTACGCAGGAGGAGAAGAAAGCAGATTTGCCTAAATGTAGTCAAAGCACAGCTGTAGGTTCCTTTCATTGCTCTTCAAGCTCTTAGTTGTCCTCTCAGGATCTAGAGCAATGGCTCTCATCCTGGGGCAATTTTGTTTCCCGGGGCACGTACAGAAATGTCTGGAGGCTTTTTAGGGGAGCTGTTACTTGCATCTGGGAGTAGAGGTCAGGAAGCTGTGAAGCATCCTCTTGAGCACAGGACAGCCCTCACAAAGATGATTCCCTCCAACACATAAACAGTGATGAGATCTAGAAACTTTGATTTAGAGGCTACGCAATCTTCCTTTACTAACTTCTTTTCTTCGTTACCAAGATTAAAAGCAGTAATTATCACACTGAATTTTCATAGTTTCCTGCCTGGATTTTTTCCTAGGTCTGCCTTTCAGTGGAAAAACCATTTTATTTGGTGGAAGCATTCCCATCTTCCTGAGTAGAATGAACATAGACAGCAGATTTCTCTCTCTCTCTCTCTCTCTCATAAACTCTACCCCTGATGTGGGACTTGAACTCACGATCCTGAAATCAAGAGCCCCATGCTCTACTGACTGAACCTGCCAGGTGCCTCCAGCTTTCCCACTTTTTGAAGGAAGGCCACCAGTACCTCACACCCCCTCCCGGTGCGCTGTGCCACACTCTGGTATGAACAGCAGGTTTGCGTTTGCAGATCAGTTGTCATAACTGTTCCAGTAGCATTTATGACACCTTGATGCTGACAGCAACAGGATGCCCAGACACCACAGAGCACTTGGTATGAGGTAGAAAGGAGGCTAAAAAAGTAAGTGCAGTATTTTGCAAGTGTCTTGATCTGAAGGTCATTACTTCTTTGTACCAATATGTCTTAAAGAACATGAATCAGAAGTCTTATTGGAGTGCAATGCACTTCTGAATCCATTTTGAATGCCAACAAACAATCTTTAATCACAGAGCCGAACACTGGAGGCAACTTAATGAGAGAAGAAAATGAACAATATTCTACAAAATCAAACCTACAGCTCTCCAACACAAACCTACAAACTTCAGTCTAGGAAAATGTAGTAATTGTGAAGTGCCCACCACAGACTTAGGCCCCATCTCCAACTAATGATATAAATTTGTTCTTTCAGTTACAAAATTCAAACCAATTCTTTACATACATTCTGTCTTGGTTCCTTTGCATTTCATTCCTTAACCACGAATCAAAAGCCCAACTTGTGGTAGGGAATTAAAGAGGACCAGTATAAATAAGCCAATTTAAGGAGACCTTAGAGGGTAAAATATTATAATTAGAAGCAAGCCTGCCATGGTAGGAATTGTTGCTGTCAGTTTGGGGGAAATCTCTCCTTAGGTATACGCGAACGCTGTCAGCAGCTGTCCTCAAAGCTGCCACTATTCCGGCAAGAATGGAAATGCATCGGGCTCATGGGATCAGACACGTAGCCTGCATTAGAATAAAAGTTCAGCTGTTACTTATCATCTTTCAGTCCATCTTCCCAATTTTTCCTAAGCAGCCTTACCCCACTCACCACAGAGCTGCCAAGCAGCTCCTCCCAGCTCATGTGAACAGAGTCTGGACAAAAGTTGCTGGCAAGCCATCATAAAACAAAGGCAAAATTTAAAATGGAAGCATAGAGCTGAGACCAGAGGAACACAAATGATAGATGTATGACTTGGGCCCAAGCTGACCAAGTTGGGAGTAAAGAAGGGTACAGTTCCAGAAGAGGGTGTATCATGATGGCTAAAGTCATGGGCTTTCATGTCAGGCCAATGTGAGTTTCAACCCTGGCTCCTCTACTTATTGGTTCTGTGAATTTTGCCCACTTAACCTTTCTAAGCCTCAGTGTCTTCATCTGTAGATAGGAAACTAACATCACTTATTCGTCACTTATTCGACAATCCATAGGGTGTGTGACACAGTGAGTGCTGAGCAAATGGCAGTTATAAAAACAAGGTGGAACTAGCAGAGAGGAAAAGGAAAGAGCCACTCTCCACAGCAGGCTCGCTCTGGTTGGGTTTTGTTTTGCTTTTCCTCCCTGAGCGCCCGATTTTTAAGTGTACTTCAATGCTCAGGTCTAAATACCAGTGGTATTTGATGCTCATTGAAGAGGTAGCCCTGACTGTTTCCACAGAGTGCGGCTGGGGGCTCAGGATCAGGCCGCTGTCCTAGAGAACACAGGACACGTGCAGGCAAGCAGTTAACTTTTCCAGTGCAAGTGAGGAAACCATTCATTGCTTCTGGGAAAATGGGCACATTTGTCAACAGCTAGTGCTGCTTTTGCTCCCTTTGATAGCTGAGTTTTCAGAACCAGCTCAGCCATCTACATTTTCATCAAGGCATCTAGCAAGATGCAGTTGGATAGGCTTATTTATTTTCATAAGAAGGGTTTCTGTCAATGTCTCTCAGGCAGCACATAAACTCTCCAGAGAGGAGATGCCGGGGCTGCTGCTGACTGTCCTCGCTCACTCACCTCCAGCAGGGCTGGCCCTGGTCAGCTAGGAGGAAGGCTGTGGTCAGGGGAAGCTAAGATGAGGGGAAGCTGAATACACATCAGTGAATCCTAATTTCAGGTGGACTTACATAAAATCTACATCCTAAAGCAGAATAGTTCTTTTTGTCCAGACTGAAACTGCATCTTCATTCCAGGCCTGGATAGATGCTTTCATGAGCTTGTAATCTTTTTATTGCTATCATCAAGCTTCTAGTGTACCACATGTGATTTTACTAGCCTTCCATGCTCCTCCATGCCTTTCTCCCCACAGGATTTCAGTGGAAATCTGATTGTGAGTGCACATCCCTCTAGTGTATGTGTGTGTGTTTGGGGGGGGGGTTGCTCTCCTTCAGGGAAGGGTGGGAAACCAGCGGGGCCTGGGTGCTGACTTGTTTGATTGATGCATCACTGCCACAGTTGAGCCACAGGCACTTGTGCGGCCATTTTGCTTAAGAGGAACCCAAGGGAAATTTGACCACAGGCTTTAGGAAAAGACTGAGCCTTGTCTGCATGTTTTGTTGCTGTAGGACTAAAGGTCTTAGGTACAGAGAAAAATGCTATGCATGTAATTTTATCTTCATTCTCTAGTCCTGCTATTTGCGGGCAGAGAGGAAGAAACAGTTTATAATGTAGCTGTTTTACCACACTTGGTTTATAAAATGGAAATGGAGGGCAATTAAAGCATTCTTTCTTGTACCACGTGATGTTCTTAGAGGGAGATCTTAAATATATCTTCTTTGCCTGTTGGGGCTCTCACTCCACCCAAACACCCTAATGTTTTCTTCAACTCTGGTACAGACACGCATAGGGAAACCCAACTTTTGCATTATTACATTACTTTTGTCTTCTCCATCTTGAAGAATTCTGCTCAAAGTCTTATTCCTTTAAGAAACAGATCGTTAGTTTAACAAAATGCTTCATCTCGAAATGTTTCATCCACCATGAAAGGAAAGACTTCTGGTCAAAGCACACATTTCAAAGGGTGCCCTATATTTTGTGGTTGTGTGGTAATGTCTGTAAAGGTTTGAAAAAACGATACTATATCTATAAAAAAAATGTGATGATGTGACACATAGAGCACATTTTCCCCGGTTACTGGACTGGCCAATTATGCTGTAAAGCTGATGATAAAAAGCACTCAGCTGCATTCTGGACACGTACTGGGAGTCAGAGCACAAAGTTTCCTTTCTTTAATGTTCCCAAGTAGTTTGTCTGCATCTATCCAGAACATTTTTTTCCCTTCGTTTCTTAAAGCCTTTCTAATGCCTTAGGTAATAATACTCAGCAAACGAGGTGCACTGGTGAGGATCCCAAAGCTGAGGGCTTCCAGGGTCTATTGCCATTTACTAAATCAGAGAACCGGGAACACATCATCCAATTTATTCTTCCCCAAACCCAGTTCTTGTAATAAATCTGATCTCTTTAACTGACATACATTTTTTTTTCAGTCCTCCATATTGTCAAGGAAAGATCCCATGAATAAATGAGCCCATTGTGCTAAAATTCCAATTAAATATAGAGGCTCTCAGTCTTAGAGGTTGGAAAAAGGACATTACAGGCCTAGCACATTAATATGGCAGCTGGTGATAAGGGTGATTACCCAGCCTCTGGCTTCCAGGGGCCTGCGTAAACTGTGTTAACTATTTCAAAGAGCTTTATTAATTTCTTCTAAAGTAGACCTGTGCAAAATGGATACCATCGGTGATACCTTCACCTCCTCTCTAGCTTTTTGAGGGGCTGGCTGGGTTTATAATTTATCCTGGGCACTTGCCAAAGGGGAAGAGCTCCCCCAGCATATGACATAATTGTGGAAACTCATCTCTTGTTTTTCTTCTCCCTACATACTTATGATGTGGGGCTTATAGGCTGTGAACTCAGTTAGGTGGCAACAGGGTGTCTGGAATATCACAAGGTGCAGGAGACTTGTCTCTCCTTCCACGAATACACACACTATGATATATTTGCACATATACTTACATGCTTATGTGCACACATTAGTAAACTCAAAGGTAAATACAGAGTTATATAAGATCGCAGTTTGTGCTTTTATAACATACTATTTCTAAAGGATCCTTCATTTGCAGTCATTATAAAACAGAATCTATTCTTCCTTATAATGAATAAATATCACCTTCCTAGAGGAAGTTTCCTTAATCATTCTGAAGAATCTGTGTACTTACCATATTTGTCAATGGGTGGGAACTGAAGATTTCTCTTCATCTCCTCCAAAGACAGGCCTTGAGAGGAACACTGTCCAGCACTGGAAAATTCCATGAGACACATGATTTCACACTGAGAAAATCATGGTGGTGGTTTGCTAATAACATTTTTATAAAACAACTTATTCACTTGGGATAGATCCCAGAAAACTGACAGAGTGATACAAAGGTGTTTCTTTGCTACAAGTGACTAGTCGGGAAAGAGTTCAGAATTATTTGGAGTAAGTCATATCTCAGTGTGAGTCCTGGCTCTTAGTGAATCCAGGCATATCCAATGTGAATCCAGGCAGGCTACGATTCCCAGCTGTGTAAGCTTGGGTGGCATGCCACCTTTTATGAGCCTCATTTTGTTAATCTGTAAGATGGGGAAAGTAGATAAATAATTTCCAGTTTGTTTTGATGATTAAAGGTAACAAAAAGATGTGTTGAATCTAAAACCTGAGTTAATATAATTGCAAACCTTACTTGAACTAATAGCCACAGTATTATTATCTTAGTAATAATCACTATCAATAAAACATGCCAAGAGATATTGTTACCATTATATTGCTGTTATTACAGTAGGAGTTATAAGAGATAGTGACAATAAGATTTATTGCATGATTCCAATGCATTAAGCATATGCATCTATCATCTCATTTAATCCTTATCATTACCGAACGTTTCTCTCATTTTATAGATTAGGAAACTGAGGCTGGAGCAGTTAAGTAACTTGTTACACAGGTTTGGCAATTGGCTCATCTATGGTTCAAACCCAGCTCTTTTAGATTCCAAAGCCTTTGTGCTTATCCACTATTCAAATAGAAATTTCTTCCTGGTACCTGGCCCTCCTGAATCCTTCTCTTCCTCAGACTTCTGCTACTCTTTTACCACACTGGTTAATGGGCTTGCTTTCTTTTTACCTCTTCAGCCATCAAAACCCTCACCCTATGCTGAACTGCATCTGTCCGTTAATTATATATCTGTGGGTCTCTTTCATGTCCATGTCTCTCGCCCAAACTTTAGCATCCTCCAGGAGTCTTCCCCCCAGAGCTGCCTTCACTGTGCTCACAGCAGAACTCTCATTTCCCCGTCCCAAGCCAGGGCTGTCATCTCAGTTCCCGGCACCACATCATTCAGTTACTTATGCCAAAATTTTTCTTTTTCTCACAACTCTTACTTAATTCAAATATTTTTAGCTCTGCCTCCTGTCTCCTTATAACCCGTTCTCCATATATTATCCAGAGTGTTCTTTTCACAGTATAAAACAGATTAAGCCATTCTCCTACTTAAAACATTTCAGTGGCTTCCCAGTTCATTTAGAGTAAAATCTACCCTCACCTACAAGGCCCTGGCCCTGCCTACCTCAACCTCAACTCACATCCTTCTCCCCATCTTTTGCTAAGCACTTCTTCTTGGCGTTCTTTCTGTCCCCTGAATCCTCCAAGCTCTTTCCCAACCCAGAGCTCTTGCATTTGTTAACTCTGCTTGGGATGACCTTAGTTAACCCGAATCTTGTTTCAATGAACCCCTGCCCTGCCTTCACCCATGCCTGGATCCTCTTTCTTTCAGGCGTCAGTTGCACCATCACCTCTTCCGAGAGGCCTTCCCTGAGCACCATTCCAAAGTAGCATTTCCCTGGCTTATAGTCACTTTCTATCTCATCATGGCAATGTGTTTCTTTCATTTAGAGCTATATAAAATTATCTTGCCCGTTTATACATTCGCTTATATAGTCTTTCCCACAGTGAGGTTGGGAGCCTCGTTGTCTATCTTGACTCCCTAATTCCCTGCTTTATACTCAACACTTATAGTGGCTGGTACACAGGAGAGGCTAAAAAAATAGTCTGAACAATTTAATTAATTGATGGGTCCTTAAATAATGTCCTTCTCTTAGGTCACTCAATTCTCCCCTCCACAAGGTCTTCCTATAACAAAAATCCTACCAGGACATTCCCCTGTTCCCCGCTGCAATTCTCTAGGCCCATGTTCCAAACCCTCTGCAACTCAAACCTACTTGTGTTCTATGTGTATCTCATGTTCTACAATTCCTCAGTATCTTTTCTCCCCAAGTTCAGGCTATGCTTGAAGACTCTGGACTTTCTAAAACATCCTAAATTTTCCTTCCTCTGATTGTGGCTGAGCTGCTCCCCAACTTGAATCTGGTTGGTGACATCTTTTTTTTTTTTTAACATTTATTTATTTTTGAGAGATAGAGAGAGCACAAGTAGGGGAGGGATAGAGAGAAAACAAAAACAGAATCTGAAGCAGGCTCCAGGCTCTGAGGGGTCAGCACAGAGCCCAAGGCAAGACCCTGAGCGCATAAATTCTGAGATCATGACCTGAGCCAAAGTCAGATGCTTAATCAACTGAGCTACCCAGGCGCCCCAGTGACATCTTATTTATCTCTGAGGGGAAGCAATAAGAAGGAACATTCTGGTGGCAGACTCCTTGAATTTGAATCCTGGCTCTATTACTTACTAGCTATGACGTTGGGCATACGTTATTTAACTACTCTTTGCTTTAGTGTATGCAACTGTATAATGGGAATTATAACATTTTACTTATAAGGTTAATCATGAGAATTAAAGAATTAAGAAGTTTAAAAGATATTGAGAAGTGCTAGCATGTAGTAAACACTCAGTAAATGTTACCAACTTTTATTATGTGTCAAAGTCCAACTCAAAGGCGACATTCCCTCAAGTCTTCTTGGAAACCCCACTCAGAATTTCATACCCTCTAGTACTTTGTACTTCTATCACAGTGCTTATCAGAGTCTGCCTCTAAGTGTAGCAATGGGCCTGTATTTGTATGCTAGTGAAGCCCACTAAACAGAATACTCCTGGAAGTCAGAGATCCCATCTGATATCCTTTGGATCTCCTGCAGGGCTTAGCTGGTACTTTGTAAATAGTTAAAATAAAATGTGTAAACTAAAATTGTTACAAAATGTTCACCTGGAGAATGCGATTTTTCTAAACTCTAGCATAAATTCACACTGTCTCATTCACTTAGCTGCCTTAAAATGACAGCAGATTTGGCCTCCCTTTCTTAAGGGATAATGTGAAGCTGTTTCTTAGAGGGGAGAAACGATTAAAAAGAAGAAAAAGTATTGACTTAAAGTGGGACATGGTATTATCTCAATCAACATTAAATGGCAAACCACACTCAGTTCTGGGCATTAGAATGTCATTCATGATATTTTTCAAAATGAACTTTACCCTACTAATAACCTAAAATTTACCTACTAAAACCTCTTAAGCACTCTAGCTCCTTTTAATAAATGTGCTGTATATACTAGTCTTGGCAACAACAAGATAATAGGGAATAAATATTTTATCATCAAAAAGGCTATCTGGTTTCCTATGAATAAAAGCCCATCTCCAAGCTGTCTTATTTATTCAGTTGCAGAATGTAATTCATGCCAGGGCACTTAACCTGCCTGCCCGGGAGATACCACCTAGGCCAGTTCTGGATGCTCTTCTAGGATGACAGACAGATGGAAGCTATGCATGCCCGGGTCAAACGAAGCAGAGGAAACCAGACCCTGATCCATGGAAGTAGTTCTCCTCAATCCATGTGTGTCCAGAATTCAGCAGGAGTTTCACAGAAGCCCAGAGTTTAAGAGACACACGGGACCTCTGTTGGCTGAAGTTGTGGCCAGAGAAAATAGGCATTTCCAGTGATGCAGCTTTCCCATGAATTCAATGAAAATAGATGTGAACTCATGGCAGGTAAGAAAAGCACTTGATGTTGCAGTGTTTCAATATTGTTAGTTAACTGGGTGGTCTTCTTTATGGTAAAAGGATGCTATATGTCATATATAGGCTTATATATGAATGATACAGGACATTATATAAGTAATTTCATGTATCTGTTTAATGACAATGGAATGAAATTTTCTCTTTTAAAGGAAATAGCAGAGGGGTGCCTGGGTGGCTCAGTCATGATCTCGGCTCAGGTCATGATCTCACAGTTCGTGAGTTCGAGCCATGCGTCAGGTTCTGTGCTGACAGCTTAGAGCCTGGAGCCTGCTTTGGATTCTGTGCCTCCCTCTCTCTGCCCTTCCCATGCTCATGCTCTGTCTCTCTCTCCTACTCAAAAATAAATAAACATTTAAGAAAATAAAGCGAGTAGCAGAATCTTTATATTAGTTTTTGAACACTACCACATTATATTGATACATCTCATTTTAGTGCTAAAATAAATTTCAGTTAGTTCTGTGACATATATGTACAGATAAACATAGTCATTGGCCATGGTATCTCACAAAGGTGCACTGGGGAATGAATAATTTATTCAGAATCAAGAGTAGAACTAAAATTCAAAAAATGTTTCCTGCTTCTCAATCCATGCTTTACAGTTATAGACAACCTAGTAGGCTGCCTGCTAATTAGGCCAGTTAACACTCAAATCCAAAATACGTAATCTGAATTTTTGTATGTGCATGCCATGCAGACAATGGCTTGTCAGCACACACTAGCATGATTGCAGTCATTCAGATGGTCTGCGAATGGACTTCCACACCCTCAGCAAAGACAACAACATTCTAAACTATGAGGCTATGTTGGCTGAACGGAGTGCAGAGATAGCAATGTTCTTGGAGAGCACATTAAGCAAAAAGTATTATCCAAAGAGAAGTGAATCAATCTTTATGTAAGATTACAGAAGAGATATCAAGAGTCCAAAAGGTGCTCAAAGGTAGGATACACTCAAATATAGTTTCAGTTCTTCAAAGCAGGAGTAAGGCAGGCTCTGTAAACTAAACTAGCAGATTAATGTACATTCTAGGCAAAACTCCAGAAAGAAATATTAAAACAGAGTTTTTCTGTACTCTTAAAAAAAAAAGTACTGATTCCTAGAAGCTATCCTGGGTTCAGGAAGAAAAGCCTATCATGTCAGATTTGCTTTATTGCTTTTTGGTGAGGATAAATTTCAAGGGGAAATCCATACATCTGGATTCTGCAGATACCGGGCAGAGTTTCTCCTGATTGCTTGCAAGTAAGAAGGGGAGATCTGTGCCAAATGACAATTGGTTGGTTTGAATTGTCACTGGTTGGATAT